GGAATCCTGACATCTAGCAAAATCAGAGTCGGTATACCCAATGATCTCAAGCTGATTCGATCTCCGATATGTGAGCATATATTCCTTTGTTCTCTATAAATACCGCATGACCCTTTTGGTTGCTTTCCAATGGTCCATTCCCGGGTTGCTCAAATATCTGCCTAACATCCCAACAATGTATGCCAAATCAGGTCTTGTACACACCTGAGCATACATCAAACTTCCTACAGCCGAAGCATAAGGAATGTTCCTCATATCTTTAGATTCAAAATCATTCTTAGGGCACTGCATGAGACTAAACTTGTCTCCCTTAGAAGCTGGAGTATCTCCTGGTTTGCAGTCTTGCATGCCAAACCTTTTGAGAACCTTATCGATATAGCTCTTTTGTGAGAGTCCAAGAACGCCTTTGGAGCGATCTCGGTGTATTTGAATTCCTAATACAAAAGAAGCCTCACCAAGATCTTTCATTTCAAAATTCTTTGAAAGAAATTTCTTAGTTTCGTGCAATAAGCCTATATCGTTTCTAGCAAGCAATATGTCATCAACATACAAAACCAGGAAAATATGTTTACTCCCACTGAACTTGTGGTATATACAGTCATCACTGACATTTGGTTGAAAACCAAAAGATATTATTACTTTATGAAACTTGTGATACCACTAACGAGAAGCCTGCTTGAGCCCATAGATGGATTTCTTTAATTTTGCAAACCATTTTCTTTGGATCTCCCGAAACAAAGTTTTCTGGCTGCTCCATATAGATTGATTCCTCAATGTCACCATTGAGAAATGCAATTTTCACATCCATTTGATGAAGCTCAAGATCAAAATGTGCCACTAATGCCATTATTGTTCTAAAAGAGTCTTTCGAAGATACCGGAGAGAAAGTCTCTTTATAGTCAATTCCTTTCTTTTGAGTGTAGCCTTTAGCAACAAGACGAGCCTTAAACCTTATAACATTGCCCTTTGAATCCCTCTTGATTTTAAATATCCATTTACAACCAATGGGTTTAATACCTTCGGGCAATGAGACTAGCTCTCAAACGTCATTGTCACTCATAAGACTTCATCTCATCTTTCATGGCATTAATCCATTCTTGAGAGTTAGAACTTTCATGACTTGGCATACCAAAGGCACTTCCTCCACTCGTAGTACTATTTCACACCCATGTCATTCTGATGCATGGAAACACATTGATAACACATTCCCTGATTTTGCTATTGAGTTTAGAAATGTGCGTCTGGGTTTATGCACAGATGGATTTAATCCGAATTCTGATTTTAGTAATCCATACTCAATTTGGCCTGTATTTATCGCTGTGTACAACTTGCCCCCTGAGCTTTGCATGAAAGAGTCATATATATTTATGGCTATGTTGATACCCGGTCCTAAATCCCCTGGAAGGAACATCGATGTTTTTTTAAGACCGCTTATTGATGAGTTAAACATGTTGTGGAGTGTTGGAGTTGAAACGTGGGATGCTTTTCGGAAACAAAATTTCATATTGCGGGCATGCCTTCTTTGGACAATTAGTGACTTTCCGGCATATGGCATGTTGTCAGGTTGGAGCACACATGGTCGATTAGCATGTCCTTATTGTTTGGGGGATGGAGTTGGTCACCAACTTAAGTTTGGGAGGAAGCCACGTTGGTGGGGCTGTCACAGGAGGTTCCTAGGACTTGATCATGTATTTCGTCGTGATGCACAGTCATGGGGAGCTTCTGGAACTGAGCGTAGGAGACCATGTCCGATAATTTCCTGTGTTGAAATTTTGAGGAGTATGGACAACATCATATTTCCACCTTTTGGGTCTCAATATGATAATGTGTGTGCTGATGGTTTTGGTAGAACTCACAATTGGATCAAAAGGTCTATATTTTGGGAACTGCCATATTGGAAACATTTACTTGTACGACATAACCTTGACGTAATGCATATTGAGAAGAATTGTTTTGATAATGTCTTCAACACGGTTATGGATGTCAAGGGGAAAACTAAAGACAATTCCAATTCGAGACGTGATATGGAGCACATGAACATACGAAATGAGCTGCATTTGTATGATCGTAACATGGCCACATATCAACCAAAAGCGAGTTATGTGTTAGATAAACCAAACATCATCAATATTTGTCATTGGTTGAAGCATGAAGTCAGACTCCCTGATGGGTATTCTTCTAACATTGGCATTGTGTGAACACAACTACTAATACTTTTTATAGCATGAAGAGTCATGATTGTCATGTGTTCATGCAACGTCTACTTCCGATTGCATTGCGCGGTTATCTAAGGTCACCGATTTGGATTGCACTTTCAGAGTTCTGCAAATTTTTTTGGCTTATATGCGCAAGAGAGCTTTGTATTGCAGATATCGAGAAAGTGCAAGATGCTATTGCTATTACACTATGTAAATTAGAGAAGATTTTTCCTCCTAGTTTTTTTTATTCCATGGAGCATTTGACAATTCACTTGCCATGGGAATTAAAAATTTGTGGTCCTGTGCAATATCGTTGGATGTACCCATTTGAACGTCTGATGAAAAAGCTCAAAGAAAAAGCAAAGAACAAACAATTTCTTGAAGGGTCAATTGTTGAAAAGTTTTGGGTTCAGGAAGTTGCTCTATTTTGTGAGCATTACTTTGATGATAACTCAGGTTCCCGTATCAACCCTCGTGTTAGAAATGAAGTTCAGCCTGATATATTGAGTATGGGGGAGACATCTAATGATGCAGCGAAGTTGTCTATTTTCAAGCATCGTGTTCAAAACTTTAGTCGGGAGAAGAATTGTACATTAACAAACGAAGAGCTACACCATGTCCATAGCTATATTTTGTTCAACTGTCCTGAAGTGCAATCGTACATCAAGTAAGTGTATAATTGAAATACAAATTTACAATTTAAAATATATGAAACTGACAATGTTTGTTTGCAGTCACTTTGAGTGTCTACTACGACAGTCTTCCCCAATGTTGAACGATTATGATGTTGCTAAAGAGGGATGACACACTTCGCCGCCTGGTTTGAGTCAATGGTATACCAACATAGATATGCAATTCATGTAAATTGAAATGGATTATTTTTATTTTCTCTATTAATAACTAATATCGCGCAGGCTCAACAGTCCCCTCAAAATTTCACCCCACAACTAATTGAGTTATCACAATGGCCAAAGAAGAAGGCCGGATCATATGGTGGGTCGTATGTTAACGGGTTCAAATTCCATACTAGAAAGTATGGCAACGGTAAAGGCTCATCTAACTGGGGCGTTTGCGTGCTTGGAGAAACTTCAGGGGATGGTCGTTATGATTTTTACGGAATTATTGATGATATTATTGAGGTTCGTTACAAACAGAATGAGGTCACAATATTCAAAGGAACATGGTTCGATCCAACCAATGGAGTACGCATTGATAAACATTCAGGAGTAGTTGACGTTCGTCACACATCTCGATTGCACCCAGAGGATCCATTTATTCTTGCTAGTCAAGCACAACAGGTTTACTATGTTAAATATCCAGCCGCGTCGTTAAGTGATTGGCTTGCAGTAATTAAAACAAAACCGAGACATATGATCGAAGGAAACAGTGACACATGTGACGAACCAGAGAACGTAATTGATCTCGATGCCGATCAAGAAGATTTCGGTGTAGAAGATGCACATGTCTTTCATGACCCCGGCCTAGAAGGTCGTGACCTTCTTCTAAACTCATGGATTGCTCCAGAAATTGTTATTGATGGTGACGAGGATGACTCAGAAGATTCAGAAGAAGACATTCCGAATTATATATAACCCTGTTTTAGTGGTTTTGAATTTTTAGTATCATAGAAGGAATAATACTTCGTATGTGTTTGTGAGACCCAATTTAATAAGTGTTGTAATAATTTAATATTTGTTCAACCTATGATTTAATCTATTGCAAGATTTTAGAGGTTTCACTATAATAGCCATAAAAACTAATACTAAAAACAAATATAAAAATAATTACTAAAATTTGTACTAGTAATTGAAGAGGTTTTTTTGCCCGATTTTTATTATGAATATGTCGTTATTTAATTTTAAATCCAAAAAATGTAATTTTATATCAATAAGATTCGTGCAGGTTCAAAATGTTAGAGGCCAAATTTTTTGAAAGAACGTTAGAGGCAAAATCATTCCGCCTTTACATTTCCTTTAGGCGCCAATTGAAAATATTTCAGCGCCTTGAAACAAAAAAAGAAATAATGGAGCGGCTCATCCAAATGAAAAACCTAGATAGAGCACATTTGAAGACCGCCCATTTCTCAATCGTCGACAGTCTTCTATATATCTGGCTCGCCCCTTTCATCTTCCTCACTGGCAAAGCTAAACAGATAAGGTCTCGTGGACGAACACTGTGACACCTCAAGAATTTTAAATAAAATTTAATGAATAATTTTAATCTGATAAAACGTTACAAACGTAATGTTGTTATAATAATTAAGTTAATGAGATAAAATAACATATATGAAGTATAATATACAACTTATTTATACATACGTACTACATACTTAGTACAACGCACATATACAATTAAAGGAGTTTGACTTTCCAAACCCATATGTATATATAATAATGCGTGATATAATAATAATATTAGTAATAATAATACTTTGCGCAGCTTGAGCCTTGAGAATGCTAGACGATAAGAACGACGAACGTAACTAATAACTATAACTACTAGCAAAGTATAGACTCGATATATTGATACGTAACTATGTAACATATATGAAATACTACTAAATTACACACGTAGAATATACGAAAGAAATGAAATCCTAAATAGGTTAAAACACCTGCAAATTAATACGACGTGTGTATGCGGCCAGGTTCACGTTCCATGAGATAAATCCCAATCGGATGAAACTTTAACTCCGAAACTTAAGCCTAGTGAACCGATCTGATAGACTCAAACCCGACCTAGAACCTTCACTCTACACCTATAAATAGCCTCCTTCCACCTGCATATTCTCCATGCACAAACCTGCGAGTGAGAAGAAAAAATAAACGTGAGAGCAAGAGGGTGACGGAGGGAGAAGAAAGACCGATCTTGGAGCACCGGAGTTGCTGGAGAAGGACGGACGCTGCAGATTCCTGCCAGGCTAGCCTGCCGCCGAACGCCGTCGTGTGATCACCCAAAAGCCGCCGGACTGCGTCGGACTGCCGCCGGGACATTTTTACGACGCTAAGTGAGGTAACCTTTCGTCAACCTGCGTTCTTAGTTGTTCCCGCGATTACGTAGAGAAGACGGCCGAATTGTACATACTCCGTATTAGTTTAGACGGGAATAATAAAACTGAACTAGTTTGGACTGTTTAATCTATGGACTGTTTGAAAATAAATAAATTAATGACAACAATAATAGTAAAAGATGAACGTAATAATGGAACGGTTAGTATAGTTATAAATTAATAAACCATCTAATGATAATAATACTGGATTAATGGACTACATATGGTAAACTGATTATTTTAATTAAACCAGATCAATTTAAATGGTACTTGGATAATAATAATTAAATGAAAATGGATGGATCGTTGATTATAAAACTAAATGGAATGACTATCAATGGGCTGATCAGTTTAAAATAGAACATTGTTTTTTTTAAACCGAACTAATTGGATTATTGGCTTACGACATTAAAATAAACTGACCAATTAATAAGAAATCCAAAGAGATATTTATAAAATAGCCAGTTTATTCGACACTAATATTAAACATACATCACTGTTTCTCTTATATTCTCTTTAATAATTAAACTAATTCGGACGTACTGTTTTGATAATAATAATAATAATAATAATAATAATAATAATAGACTGATTAAAATACACTATAATAATGGACTAAATTCGGAACCCGTAATAATAGTACTAACGGCAACATTCGTACTAGCAAAAGTGATAATTGTATGTGGACTGATTATTACTTATAGAGCCCGTTTGGTAGCACCAAAATCGGCTGTTTTGGCTGATTCTGCTGAAATTTATGATATTCTGGCTGGAGTGGCTGTTTTGGCTGATTCTGCTGATTTAATAAAAAAATATTTTAAAAATATATTTTATTAATAAATTAAAGAAAAAATTATATGTAAAAATAGCTAAAATGGTCCTCTACAGTAACTTCAGCCAATGCAGCCAGAAAAGTAACTCCAACCTTACTTTTTCGGCTTATTACACAATTCAGCGCGCGAAAGTAAAAGTTACGTGTTTGGTGAAAAAGCTGGCTGATAAGCCTGATAAGCCGAAAACAGAGTTCTCCAAACGGGCTCATAGAGTCAATATCGTTATAGGATTAGTGATCGAAATAATGACATAAATAGTGGACTGTTTAGTTTAAAATGGAACCCTTAAACCAGAATTGGTTATCATGAAGTAATTGGCGGATACGAATGGATTTATGGACTGTTAGAATAAGTAGACCAATTTAAATAAACTCATAGTTGAGTTAATCACGATAGTTATAAAATAATAAAATAATGGGCTTATAGTAATATATAAAAGTATAATGGAAGGGGTTAAACGAGAAGGGTAGGACAATGAAACTATAACTTAGAATAAATATTGACTTTGGAAATTATAATCATTAGAAGGTGAACTTGGAGAGGAAGTCGTTTGAGAAGCTTGTTAGGCCTATCTGGAATTTGAGGTAAGTCACATTGCAACCAAAATGCATTTTTACCTCGTATATATTGTATGTATGAAATATGAAATTTGTACTATTTGACTATTTGTTGAGCAATTTATGAATATGTGATGCATTGTTGAATGTTGAATAACTTTGGGGAAATTACGTGTGTAGTAATCCCTGAATTTTTGGAAAATAATAAAGATAAAACGAACCTTTCAATATAAGGGCATCACGGGAGAAATCCGGGATGTCGGTGTTCTCCACGACCTTGACTGTGGAGAGTGATTAGGACTGCTATTACTTGTTGGGATTTGGTGTCCACGACCTTGACTGTGGAGATTGGTTAAAGTGGTTGTTTTATTGGAATTCAAATTCGGGCAAAAGACCCTGTTATTCAGTAGTAGCAGTAACCTAGTCGCTTATATAGGGTAATCCCTTTTTGGTGGAGTAGGGGGACGTTGATGTCCGAACTACTTGGACTTTTACTACTCGGAGGGCTTGGAATCCCTTTTTGAGGGTGTGCACACTTAAGGTAGAGGTTCAGTTTCCTCAGGTTAGAAGTGGTACCGGCAAAAGTCCCGGGGTGGCCGTACATAACAACGGACCACCGGGCTCAATAAAATGTTGAGCACCGCCCTTCAAATGTATTAGGAGTTTAATACAATTATATTTTAAGACATTACTAGAGTACCTATTGAAGAAAATATTTTATTTTATGAAAGTGAGGATCATCCATTTTTGAAAGAAGTATACCATGAAATTTATCTCTTGAATTACTTTTTCTTATATATGGTATACAAAATATTATTTTCACCAAACCTACTATTTTACGGGGTTGGGTGGGACTTACTTAGCTCTAAAGCTAATTTTTGTGTTATTTGTTTCTTTTATTTCCTTATGTTACAGATGATGTGGTTTATGAAGATTGATGCCTTGAGAGCGCTCCTAGAAGACTTTTAGAGTAGTCACATCTAGAATAAACATTGTTAGATTTCATTATTTCAAATGTTGAATTTAATAATTACTTTAGATACATTTACGGTGGATAGCCTTAGCATCCAGTCGGTTTAGGGCTGGGTGTGGCGGTAACACGCCCCTTTTCCCTATTATTGTTTAATTCCGCTGCAAACAATTCAAAGTTTTGAATAATTAATAAAAGTTTATATTTTCTTTAAGTATTATTTTGGGCGGGAATTTTGGGGGTGTTACAAACACACCAAAACTCGGCAACTCAGGTTCTCTTTGGTTTTCTTTCAATTACAGCACTTTGTATTACCAATTTCTAGGGTTTTCATTTATGAGATATATAAATGTCACTTTGCACTTGACTATGCTGCAGTGATAGTTAGATTGGGAGAGTTCCAGGCATTAAGTGACTACACGTATGTTTTTTTTAACACACCAAGCATATATCTGTTTTTCCATGTTTGATTATTGCTCTATTTTATTTTTGTTCTGTGGTACTAGATGTGTAAAGGAATATTTCAGTTCACTGAAGGATTCAATTAGAGTTTTCACATAGTCCATTTAATGTCCCAAATTTCCAGACAGGTTATGTGAATTCATTTTTAACGATCTTAGATGTCAATACAATTTCATTGATTTCATAAAGTTCTTATTAAAGTGATAAAAAATCAATTTATTTTGGCATATCTCTGAATATCCCTACCCCAAAATAGAACAATACACCCTTGAATAGTAATGAAAATAACATCTTTGAGAGTATATGTGTATAGGGAGGGAATGTTATCCATTTATTTATTCTGTATTTGTATCTTACGTTTATATAATTTGTATGTGTTTAGAGAAAGACATGTCTTCAAGGACTTCCATATCACGTGGTGCTCAGCGTGAAATCCGTGGCCACCCAAATAATGGTGTTATTGTTGGTATTGGTACCACTCGGAACTTGGCTTTAGGAGGGCATACAGCTGGATCAGATGGCCAACAATCACCGAACACCCCTGCGTCAGATGGAAGTGGATCATTTGCTTCGAATACAAGACCTGAACTTTCAATGCAACCTAACTTGATACCACACAGTGTGTCTCTCACACAGTCTTGCGATTACATTGTGGTCGGAGAGTAAGTAATTGCTTTTGGCAATCCAGTTACTCCTAAAAAACCACATCTATCAATAGGGCTTATATTTTATCATTAATAAAATTTACTCATTTTTTGTAGTTTGAAAGTAAATGAAAAAGTGAAGAAGTCCCTTGAAACTATTGCTTCACAATTGTTCACTGGCTGGCCAGCTAATTACGGAAATTTGGATCCCAAGTCTCACGAGAAATACTTATCACTATTCTCGGTAATTATATTAGAATCCTTGTCCATATATTCGATTGGATATTCTAATTATTATATATAAGTTGCTATTGTTTTTCAGGAAGAGTATACATGGGCCCCGTCAGATAAAAGTCGAATGATATACGAAGTTCATTCACAATTTGCTAGTCGTTACACGGCACGCATGTCCAATTTGAGAAATCATATACAATCCAAAATTCCAGATTTTTTTCCAGATCAAGACTACACAAGATTCATTCCCTTCCGTCCGGAGCTCGTAACCTCTCACACATGGGCTAAACTGTGTAACTATTGGAACTCTGATGAATGGCAGATGTAACCGTGTTGGTAATATTGAGCTATATTATTTTGATTAAAGTAATAATAACTACGGATGATTGTGTTATAGACAATGAAAAATAAAATTAATATGTAGGCAACCTTTGTGATGGTGAAGTTCCTGCAAAGACAAAAGGAAGAAAGTCTAAAGCGCGATTTTATTCTGAATTGGTAATTACTAATACAGGTTTTGGAATGAATAATTTAGCATGTAATGTGTATAATTTCAGACGTCAATTTGTTATTCAACTAACAGGAGGAGGAACTTGGCCGAACTCCAACAATGGAGGAATTTGGAGTTAAGTGGAATGCAGTTGACCCTGTAACAGGTCAGCTACCTACAACACCGCACGCTCGTTACATGGTATGGTGTATATAAAAGATAATTCTTTTTAGTTGTGCTGGTCTATATCAATCTAAATGTAAAGCTAATTATTAATTGCCATGTACAAATAATCTGTGTTGTAGTTTAAATTACTATAATAATATCCTTTTCTTGTAGGCTAATTACAGTCAACAAATGGAAGAAAAATATGGACCGGACCGGTCACAACATCCAGTGTTTGACTTTGAGATTTGGACACAAATTACCGGTCCTCCAAAAAAGGGGCGACTGATTGGTGTACCGGACCAATTATCACACCCAGAGTTGTTTAAACCATCAAAACCACAAGAGGTATGTCTGTATGTAAACTTAGATATATGTTGAGTGCTGTTAATAACAAATAATGTCTATTTAATACTCTGTATATATTTATTCTATGTGTTAGGGAGATACTAATAGTTTGAACTGGAAGCGTATTATAATATGTACTGCAAAGAAAATTACAAAATAACTTCTTGGTTTTTTGTCTAGTAGACTAATGATTCTGTAATACAATCATGCGTTCTCCCCCACTGTTTGAAACAGAGAATGTAGGTTGAAGACTTTATTAGCTCTATTCAATATTATGTAATCAATTTCTTTCTCAAAATTTGATGGTTACAAAATTGCAGGATAGGTGTGTGGTTTTAGAACATCAAATTGTTGATCTCAAGGTTGAAATAGAGAGTATGCGACTTGGTATGTTGGAGCTTAAGACATAAAATAAAAAAATCCAGGCTGAAAATACAGAGCAAAAAACTCAATTCAACTCTACAATGAGCAACATTTGGGGTTTCCTAATCAATATGGGTGTTGCTAACCAAAACATGATCCCTTTTAATTTTGGGTCATCTCAACATCATCCTGCAATGATGTTTGGGCAGCAGTCACAACTCCATCAGCACTTACCATCCAGGCAACAACAAGGATCGTTCAGTCAGCTTATTGGGATGACATATGCCCAAGCTCAACAAGAAACGGTAGGGGACCAGCCTCCACAATTTATTCATGGTGATCTTGCACAACCTAAGGCAGCTCAACGTTTCTCAAACCCGCCTGCCTGCCTGCCATCCAACGCGACCAACTGTTGCTCCACGTATTTTTCCTATGCGGCATACTCATGTAGACTCATTGACCTCCCATTGTGATGAAGAGGAAATGGTTGATGTAAACAATGACAGTTAGCAAAACATTTCAAGTTGTTGCAACTTTTTTGTGTCATTCATTCACATATTTGTACTCTGCAATGTTTCTACATTTTGGTTTAAAAAATTGAGTTATTTTCGTCTCATGAATGATGAATCCATGCAATTATTATGTTTGTTGACAGTATTGTTATTATGCTATACTCGTATATTATTGTATTCTTTCAATTTATTTTAAAATACGTACTCCGTATAAATTACGGTGTACTTTGTATTACATTTGATAAATACACTTTTTATACGACGGCCTGTTAAAGTTTACAGAGGGATCCCTTATTAGTTGGTTATTTAATAGACAAGTTGATTGGCTACACGTTGCAGGTTTATGACCCCTGGAATGGTTATACATTTGTTATACTTGGTGGTTTGGGATGTATGACTTATGAGGGAATGATCCCTTATTAATCCATTATTAATTGATGTGGTCATTGGTTACAGGTGGCAGACTTATGAGACCAGGAATGGTTATATAACCCTTATTAGCTAATAAGGAAACAATCCGTTATTCCTAGGCTGACCACCAAAATTTTAATAAGGGATTAAATCACCACGGATTCCCTTATTATATATGGCAAACAAATAAGGGATAGCTCGCTATTATCACATTTTCGCTATTATCCTACAAAATAGCTACTAACTGTTCTAGAGTCCAGTTTCTTTTCATTTGACCTATAAGGCCTTGCCTCAACTGGACAACCCCAAACATGGAAATGATTTATACTGAGTTTTCTTCCAGACCAAATTTCATAAGGGGTCTTAGTTGTAGCTTTAGTGGGAACCCTGTTTAGTATGTAAGCTGCAGTTTTCAGTGCCTCTCCCCAGAGTGAATCTAGTAAAGTAGTATGACAAATCATACTCCTAACCATGTCCTTTAATGTACGGTTTCGTCTCTCAGCAACACCATTCATGCTAGGAGTTCCAGGCATAGTGTACTGAGGAACAATCCCACACTCCTCTAAGAATTTAGCAAATGGACCTGGACGTTGTTCACCGGAACCATCATATATTCATATCTACCATAGTATTCACCACCACGGTCAGATATAACGGTTTTAATTCTTTTGCCTAATTGATTTTCAACTTCGGCCTTATAAGATTTGAACACGTCTATTGATTGAGACTTTTCATGAATGAGATAAAGGTAACCATAACGAGAGTAATCATCTATGAATGTGATAAAATATGTTTGACCATTTCTACATGGTGTAAGGAATGGTCCACAAATGTCTGTATATATCAATTCTAATATATCTGAAGCTCTCTCGGCACCTAATCTCCTTTTGTTCGTTTGTTTTCCCTTAACACACTCAACACAAATATCCGAATTTGAGGAGTCAAGAGAATCATGAATTCCATCAGACACAAGTCTCTGAATTCTTTCTTTAGAAATATGTCCTAAACGCTTGTGCCAAAGTGATAATGAATTCTCATTGGTTAATTTTCTTTTAGTACCACGAGTATTCACATGCAAGGTTTCATTATATGAGGCAATTATATCAAGTGAATATAGATTATCATAAACTGCTAAAAGACCGGTACCAATAAGCTTTGAATCTTGAAATAGATTGAATTGACTATTTCCAAATGAACAAGAATACCCAAATTTGTCCAATGCAGAAATAGAAATTAAATTCCGCCTAAATGACGGTACAATAAGTGTCTCTTTCAAATCCAAATAAAAACCAGTCTTTAATAATAATCTAAAAACACCGATAGCCTCAACTTCAACCCGCTTGCCATCACCGACATAGATGTATCTTTCACCATCAATTGGTTTTCGGCAGCTCAGGCAACCCTGCATGGATACACTTATGTGAGTAGTAGCACCGGAATCTACCCACCAAGTGTCCTTGGGTACCAAAATTAAATTAACCTCAGAACAAACAAAAGCAAGAGACATACCCTTTTTCGCACGCCAGGCGTGGTACTTAGTGCAGTTCTTTTTCTTGTGATTAGTCCCTTTGCAAAAGAAGCATCCAGATTCCTTAGTTTCTTCCTTAGTTTCCTTATGATGCTTTCTTTGAGGCCCTGAATTTACAGCTTCCTTAAATTTCCTTTTCTTGCTGCCCTTAGAGGTAGATGCCAAATGAGCACTTTCAGTCTTATCTTGCTTTATTCTCTCTTCCTCTTGAACACAATGAGAAATGAGCTCATCGAGAGACCATTTCTCCTTAATACAGTTGTAACTGACTTTAAATTGATTAAATTGAGAAGGAAGAGAGATCAAAACTAAATACACAAGCAATTCCTCAGGTAAAATGAGCTTAAGTGCACTTAGTTTTGAAGCAATATGAGACATTTCCAAAATGTACTCCCTTATGTTCCATTTGCCTTTGTACTTCATGGAAACAAGAGTGCTCAAAAGAGTACTAGTTTCCGCCTTTTCGTTTTTAGCAAAATGCTTTTCAAGTTCGGCAAGGAACGATTTGGCATCATCCTCATCAGACATAGTGCCCCTGAATGATTCTGGAATTGCACGTTTCATGATCATTAGACTCATGCGGTTTGAGCGTTCCCACCTCTCCATTTCCCTCTTTTTATCAAGGGTAGATGTATCCTTAAGAGCGGCGGGTTTCTCAGTCCGGAGTGCAAGGTCTAGATCCATGCAACCGAGAACAATCATAACGTTCTCTTTCCATTCCTTAAAATTCGTGCCGTTAAGCACATGGATGCTATTAATATTAGCAGATATTGTAGCAGCTGAATTGTTGACTGAAAGAGAACAAAAATAATATAAATGATATGCACTAGAAACTGAAATTAACTTGATAATTTATTTTAAATTTAAATATTAGCAATCCCCATCACAAGATACCTAGCGCAACATTCAATCATGTCTTTGGACACAAATTAAACTTGCAAATGATACTCTTGGCGTAATAATAAAATTTTGATAATAAAATCACGTCAAATATTAAGCCTTTCTTTGGACCGACTTAATATTCACATGAAAACCTCATAATTATCACAAATTTTATTATCACAAATGTACTCAAATTTCGGCCAAATAATAACCTTCCTTTGGGCCGATTATTATCCGCATGAAATAAGTACACAATCATCTTAATATATGAGTTAATTAATTTCAACAAGAGAGGCTACTTTGGCAGCATGTTGTGTCAATTAACCAACCCAAATATTAGACATGCTAATATTAAATCAAATATCTGAAAAATAAAATTGGGCGAATTTTCTGAATCACAGACAAATGTGTTATGTGTAATGATAATTTGTAAAACTCATACTCAATCGTTGTGCGATCGCAAAATAGTATTCACACAGCATCCATAACACATAATACATATTTTTATCCCACAAAACATAATGACCAAAAAATAATCAATTCCAACAATATTCAAATATGCAAATATAATAGAATTGATATTGGCCGTAATTACATATAAGTATTTAATTATCAAAATAAAAATAAAATCCGAAAAACTGAATCACCCACAATCGGAAAATAGAATCAGAATTTAATTTGATACTCAACAAATACCACTGATTCTTCCATATCTCGATAACCTTCCGAAGATGAATGCATGGTTTCACTAAACTAGATTTTCACCCGTGCGATGCACGGGACACATATTAGGTAATAGCAATATGATATTATTTCTTAACATTATTTGTTAATGTGTAAATGAATTCAAAGCGTATTGATGTAATACATATAAATAATACGTAGTAATTACTAACGAAAAAAATGCCTTGATTCATAATTGGTATGGATATGTTTTTTTTTTGGATTAAGAAGGAAAGAATAAAGCTTACAATAATATAAGCGATTTTTCCATTCAAAAAAATAAAATAAAATAAAATAAAAGTCACAATAAGATTTACGAAGGCTAAACATTTCAAAACACTTCCTTGTAAACAACATTATGAATATGGTCATTTCTTTCCCCATCTTCACTGCAAATCAAAATTTTCAAACCTTTATGATTTGTCATTCTTGATATTGTAACATAAAGTTGACCGTGCCTTAGAATTGATTTTTTTAATAAGAGTTTAACATGCGTCAATGTTTTATTTTGACTCTGATTTATTGTCATCACACAAGAGGTCGTCATGACATGAAATTGTCTTCTTTGATATTTGAATAATATTCTTGCATCCAACGTGATTTGATTGTGATGGACATACATCCTATACATGCGTTGATACTTTGTCACACGAATGATTGTATCTTGGAATACACACATCTAAAGGTTGCTCTCTATAATTGACATTAATCGTCCTCACAATCGGAGAAGAATTAAATGACAAATAAGACACTGTAAACATAAATAGCAAAAATAGCAACAAATCATATTTATTTTAATATCTATTAACATGACATAATCAAAATTGTAAAATTAGAATTATTAAAGTTAGAAGTACCATTTTTTGTCTATGAAAATATTAGATGATCTATTGTGATGAGGCAATTGATTTTTCTCAACATTTTGATCAAAATTTCTGTCCAAAAATGCAATTACATATAATAGGTTTTGAAAATACATTTAGAGTATTATCGGAAATCTGAAGCTCTACAACTCCCCCTTCCATATTTCATTCCTTATCCCTCCTATACATGGGTAATCATGATCTTTATCTGATTGACGACGTTTTCCCGGATAAGTCGAACTCCTCCGACGGAGTCTCAACTTTGCTGGCATATTACGGTAGTGTTTGCAAACTGCTTAAAAAAGCGTTTCTTGACTTTTGGTTTAAAAAAGCTAAAATAAAACACTAAAAAATTAAAAGTTAGAATCTGTTTTTTAATTTTTTTATTACACAAAAGCACATATTTTATCAAACACTACCAACTTTTACTTTCCAAATCTGTTTTTCCAAAATCACTTTAAAAATTAAAGTGCTTTGTTTAAAGCACAAGTTATTGCAAACACCCCTACATGTGTATCCTAGTTACAGACTGACCGTTGGGAACGACTTTAGTCACATATTCGACGCTATATTCGGTATATTTTTTAAAAATAATCTCTATACTCACTTAATTTTTGTATATCTGGTCAATATTTTGTAATTAACTACATGATCTGAAGAATGTCATTTGTTTGGTTTATGAACATTGTTGTTCATGTATAAATCTAATTACTT